TGAATCACATCCATAAGCCATTTCCTTGGCAGAAATATGGGTTCATGCTTCCAGCAACGCGAAAACTTTTTAGAGAAACACAAGTTCTGGGTGAGTTGGAGAAAGCTAATTGAGTCCTAGAAATCACCAGCAATCCAAAAAAGAGGAGACCCTCTCGGAGAGAGACTGTCCAAAGTGCTTCAGGATGGCAGTGGAAAAACAAAAAAACATTGCAAGTGACTTACTCTTTCTTTAGGATTTTGGTCCATCGGTGCTAGTTTACCAAGGAGTACAAACGTACCTGTGTGTCAAAGCTTACAGTAAGATTTGATCACAAGACCGGCGAACACGGGACACAGCGTTAATCATGCTATGACATTTTGCAATGTTTTTCCTTGAAACATCCATGAATCAATGAACATCAAATGAACATCTCATCCTATCTGCCAGCCCCAGGTTTTGAGCGCAAACGAGTGTCTTATCCACCACTTCAAGGCCAGTAGGCCTTAGGTGACATGGCATGACATGGCATGACATGGCCATGGCGCCATTTGCCACGACCCCGACCCAAGAAAGAAACATTTAGAATTTCACGTGGAACCCAAAGTAAAAATATATGGCTATAGAATGCTGTATAGAATCCTATTTAGAATGCTATATAGAATGCTATATAGAATGCTATATAGAATGCTATATAAATGCTCTATAAATGCTCTATAAATGCTCTATAAATGCTATATATGTAAATGCTCTATAAATGCTATACAAATGCTATATATATATATACATAATTGCTATATAGTTCTACTCTTGTTTTTTTGAATAATGGCAGATTCTCATGAGAGTTTTGAGATGCGACTTGTTATCAGCTTGGAAACACATTGATGCTAGCATGACCTGCGAAATAAAAACAGTTCCACTTCAACGCAGCTGATCTGAACCGGATCAAGTCACCACTTCCCAGGTCTGTGTGAGTGGCATCCAGCCGTCATGACTCTGTCTGTCTTAACTACAGCTGGGATTGTTCCTTGACTTCTCAAGCTCTGGAAGAGATCCACATCAAAATATACACATCAATGCACTTGATGCTAGGAACGATTCATCCGCCTCTTACTTTTCATTGGTTCAGTTGTTGCTGTAGCTATTTGGGTTTGTCATTTGCGTTTATCTTGAAATATGGTACCAAGTGGTACGCCAAAAGTCAATCAGTTACTCATCAGTATATCTATTAAAATGCCATTTGGGGGACCCCACTTTCAAACAAACCCCATTCGGTGGTGGGATTACCTCTGGGGCTGAATCCCCATGTTTTTTCCATCCAGGTGGCGTGTAATAGTATAGTGAATCGATACCATGGGCGGAAAGGTGCGCGACTTGCCTCGGGCCCCAAGCTCCAACCTTCGGAAAATCTACACATGTGCATACAGTAACTCCATATCTATAATCATATAATCAATCTAGATATTTTTCTGTACACTTATAATTGTATCAAATAATATTATTGTAATATCATATATTGTCATATATAGAGATATCATGTGTATGTATACATAGATAAATACATATAGTACATATATATATATATATATGTATAGAGTAAATAAATTCCTGATTAGTGTGGGGTGCACTATTGTGTCCCCAGATTCCAAAATAATTCTGAACCTGTGGAAATGAGGGGGCGTTCACTATTGTGTCCCCAGGATTTTTGGGGTAAGTTTTTCAGTTTTTTCTTTTTTTTTTTTAACAAAAATGGTTTAAATTATGTTTTTTTTAAAAAAAATCAATATTTCATTTTTTTATTTATTTTTTCAAAAAATATTTTTAAGTTATTTTGAATGTTTTTTCATGAGCAATATTGATCCTAAATAATATGTTTGTTGTGGGGATCCACTATTGTGTCTAGCTGTTGTCTGAAGAAACATTTATTAAGGTTATTTATGACCCATCAGTAAACATTATTTAAATAGGATGCCTTATTAAAACCCACTTACAAGCAGCGCTCAAACAATGTTTCAAAGGGGTAGCCCATGAGCAACCCTGATCCACAATAGTATGTTTGTTTTGGGGGGTCCACTATTGTGTCCAGCTGCTTCCTGAGGTGATTTTTTTTTCAAACATTCCCTTTACCTTTCCTTTGCTAAAGCTTTTTTTCTTTTATGGTATTTCTATGGTATTACTATTGGATTTCTATGGGATTCCTATGGAATTTTCATGATGTTTCTATGATATTTCTGGAGGATTTCTATGGGATTTCTGAAGGGATGCTATGGGAATTCTATGGTATATGGGATTTCCATTGGATTCCTATGGGATTTCCATGGTATTTCTATGATATTTCTATGATAGTTCTATGGGGTTTCTATGGGATGTCGATGGTATTTCTATGGGATTCCTATGGGGGTTCAACAGGATGTCTATGGGATTTCCACTGGATTCCTATGGGACTTCCATGATGTTTCTATGATATTTCTAGAAAATTTCTATGGGTTTTCTGAAGGGATGCTATGGGAATCCTATGGTATTCTTATGGGATTTCCATTGGATTCCTATGGGATTTCTGTGGTATTTCTGATGTTTCTATGATATTTCTATGGGGTTTCTATTGGATTCCTGTGGGATTTCTATTGGATTCCTGTGGGATTTCCAAGGGATTTCCATGATGTTTCTATGATATTTCTATGGGATTACTATGGGAATTCTTATGGGTTTTTTTTGTGGTTCCTATGCTATTTCCATGCTATTTCTATGATCTTTCTATGGGATTTCTGTGGGATTCCTATGGGATATCCATGATATTTCTATGATATGTCTATGGGATTACTATGGGATGTCAATTGAAAGTAAGTTGAAATCAATTGAGAATAATTTCAGCCTAAATTGAAATCAATTGAACATAAATTGAAAGTAAGTTGGCACCAATTGAAAATCAATTGAAAGTAACTTGAAATCAATTGAACAACAATTGAAAGTAAACTGAAATCAATCGAAAGTAAACTGAAAATCAATTGAAAGTAAATTGAAAATCACTTGAAAGTAAATTGAATTCAATTGAAAGTAAATTGAAATCAAGTGAAATCAATTGAAACCAATTGAAATCAATTGATAATCATTTGAAAGTAACTTGAAAATCAATTGACATCAATTGAAAGTAAATTGAAATCAATTGAAAGTAAATTGAAATCAATTGAAAGTAAATCGAAATCAATTAAAAATCAATTGAAAGTAAATTGAAATCAATTGAAAGTAAGTTGAAATCAATTGAAATCTACCATTTTTTTTGATCACACACGATTCAGGATCGAAATCTTGAAAATTTCCACATTAAAGAGGACCTAAAAATTGTTAAGGGGGGGGGGGGGGGGGGGGCCGACACTAATCAGGATCCAACATTAGTATACTTGGTCCAAAAACTCACCGTCTTTGGGCCACATGTACGACCAGTGGTGTTCATAGACATCTAACTTCTTTTTAACACCTTTGACGTTGAACTACGCACCCAATTTCAGCTGTTCTTCTCAATCTTGCAAGCATCTCACCATTCATACCTACACACAAGTTGCAAACAAATCGGCATGTGCTCCATCTGGTAAAATCTATCTCTATAGCGAACCTGTATGGTTTCAACATCTTGAAGAAATGGCTGAGGTGAGAGATGTCGCCAATGAACACATTTCACAGCATTTCATCCTATGTCTCATCGCAGTTCCATGAGTTTCCCATTCAACGCCCGCATGATGCAGCACAGTGTGCTCGACGCGTGTCCATACTCGATTCTTGTAGCTGTCTATTCCTGCACCATGGTCAGCGGGTTGGACAGGTGCATCCTGCAACATTTAACATAATCATAACTGTTCGTTCATGGAGCTGCCTATAAAATGTAATTGTGTCCAGGTTGAAAGCACGCAAAGGGGCACAATCAGCAATGTTCTCACTTGTTGGAAAAAACATTGGGCATGTGCACAAAATTTAAGATTGTGGCAAGCAAGGTCCCGAGTCGAAACGATGCACAGTCAAATTCTTTTCTTGACTGGATTCCCAAATAATACGCAATAGAATAGTGGATTATTGCAACCAAAGCAACACATACTAACAGTAGTTCCAAATACTTTGATTCCTGGAAGGGAACCACTGTGGAAACTTTCGCCTAAGAATGGGAAGATTCTGCGACTGGCATTTGAGTGCAACCCACCACATCTTGTTTGGCTGACCCAGGGAGAAACATACCCCCTACAACTCCAATTGCAACTGGGTACTGTCGGTTTATGCCTTGAAGCCAAATGATAAATGCTACTTGGCCAGTTTTTGGGAATTTGCCAGAGAGGCATCCACATCACTACAGGCCCAGTGAATCAATTTAAATCATGTATCATCATAGTGTGCAGCATCTGGTTCATGGTTAAACTTTGCCTTTTGAAACAACCACCCAAATCTTTGGTTCAGGATGAGCCAAGAAGCCTAATTCCTGTCCAGTCTGCTGGTGGACTGTTTCAGGAGCGATGATGATCAAGGCATCCACAGAGTAGGCATAAACCTACACCAGCCGACACCGACACCCACTGCCGTGATGCGATTTTGCGGTACACCGAGACTCTGAGCTGATGATCATAAATCATACGAGTGCCACGTCGCGGATGAACCAACCAATAAATCATCACATATCAAATTACATCAACATATATAAAGCTATATATATATATCAACATGTGATCCTTCTCAAACATCAGAAAGTTCACATGAAATGTTGCTTGGGATGTTTATATACCCCTAATCCTAAGCCCCATGTTTTCCCCAACGTGACCTTAGGTCGGCTTCTGACCTCGAGTTCCACCGCTGAGGTGCCCGACGTACAGTGAGTTGATGGCCAAGAGCTGAATTCCACGGTGCTTCTGGGGGATGGAGATGATGTCCTCGAATGGAGAGTGCTGGGGGAGCTATGTGTCAATGGCTGAAGCTATGTTTTTTCACATATCACAAATCAATCTCCGGCCGTTGAATGGAATCAACCATGAAACAGAAGGATTGCAGAATTTACATGATTTTACTTGGGGGTGCAGTTGGGGTTATTTTTCTGGGCATACTAATAACATCTTATAATCCCCAAAGTTCGAACATAAGCCACATAATCAGGGTCATATTTACCCACTCTTTGTATAAGTAGAACTGCACCCCGAAGTAGTAGCACAGGAAGCAAAAACTCATGGAGGGGAAACCATCAGGAATCGTAGTGCTTCGCTGCCTTCAGAATGTCGTTCCATACAGAAGTGCTCCAACAACTGCATGAAATCAATAACGAAGGAGGTTCCAATTATTCGAACAGTTCTACTTTGATCGCAAGTTGGGTTCATCACTGCCTTGGGGCTTTTTCAATGAATCTCTTCAGTGTCAGTGTGAGATCAAACAACTAGCGATGATATGGAACAATGATGATGCATTATTGGACTGCAGCTGCTTAGCCACCTGCATATGCCCAAAGGTACAGGGCAATCCACATGCTCTTTTTGGTTTCCATCTGTTGATGGCCAGTATGTTACCAAATATTCAGCAGCTGATGGGGCTCCTCGCTTGGGTGCATGGACAGATTTGTACTGGATGGATAGAATGGATGGATACATTTTCTAGACAGATTTTCAGACAAGGGGCAAGCCACACCCAAACGTGTTCCAGATCGACGCCGTTCTTCTCGGCGAACAAGTGCAAGGAGTGAACCATCGCATGGCGCTGTACATCATCAGGCCCCAAACGATTCCATGAAGGCCAGTGGTAGCTGAAAAACACCTCAGCTGGATCAGCTGGTGCTTCAGGGCCTATGACCGGCCTTCACCGAATCTGATCCAGCGCATCATAGTAGCAATAATATACATATATAAATATATTAAAACATGTGTATACATAATAGTAAATATATATATATACACATACCTATATTATAATAAATACTTACAAAATATAAAGAGTGTAAATATGTATATTATAAATGTATATATTATAAATATAATAACAATATAATAAAAAATACAATTGTATGTATATATATATATATTTCTATATATATATATTATTAAAAAAACATATTTTTATAATATATATATATTCATATAAATATACTAATATACAGACATATATTTATAATATATATATATATATTTATTTATAATATATATATATATATATATCTAATATTTATCATATATATATAATTATAGCGTGTATATATAGTTATCATATATATTTAACATATATATATATATATGTACTTGTTATATACATAATATGATATATGTAAATAACAAACATATAAAACCGTACATATTTATAATATATTTAGTTAACATATACATATATATATAAGATACATCTATAATACATATATAATATACAATATATGTATACTATACATTTATAATATATACATTTATAATATATATATATGATTTATACTATATATATATTATATTATCATAGTAACAATATATCTGGAATTGTCTGGATAAATTGTAAAACTTCAGCTGAAGGGGGTTGATCAAGCCAGGGCACAATGACATTCTCCATGTTGTGAAAGTAGCTGATCTCCTGGTCAGGATCACGCAGGGAACCACTAGTGCCCTCATTCCTGCACAACTTCACGAGTAATCCAACAACATGCTTTTGAAACTTGAAACACCTGTTGAACCTGTCACGAATCCTTTTGAAACCCCTTTAACAACCTGTTTTGAAACTTCAATTCAACGCACATTTGGGGTGGGAATCTCTCAACTTGGGGCTGCGAATACCCGCCGTTGCAGGCCACCTTCAACCACGAATCCCACACACCAATGGATTAAAATTAATGGAACATGCATCAAAAAAAAGTGTTTTTTTCTACCAATACATATGTGTATATAAGGGCTTACAGGTTGCCTGTAGATTCTCTCATCTAATTCTCTGCACAAGCAAAAAACATCCGCCAATCACTTCCCCCGACCTCGGTGGTATCCAGCACACGCAGCAAACCTTAGAACCCGCTGCCTGGTAAATCTTCAGAAGTCAAGGGCTTGGAGGTCCCACTGCGCAGGTGGATTTAATCCCCTGAATGCTAGTCTCGTGGGATCCTTTTCAAAGTCACATTCTTTTCAGCTATACGGTCACTCATGATACAAAACACAGAAACAACTCGCCACAAAAGGCTCTCCAGTGAGATAGATTACACACATTCTATTGCATTCCTATAAAGATCGGTGATTCCATCTCTATGGTCCATCGTTGCATCTACCGGGGAATCTTGAAACAATCCAGCTGGAAAATGAATTGAACATAGTTTTCAGAATTCCAGTATGTTCCAATGCTTCAGTTTCTGGCTGAGATGTCCGTTTTGATTGGTTTCTGCCCTGGATTCCCGTGCTTGACCCCCTTTGAGTCCCACCTGTCCCAAGAGATCCCAATTCCTTCATGATCTTTATATATATTATTTTCCCTTCAAACAAAATCAATTAAACACAAATCCAGAACAAAATCCGAACACATCGCAATTCTCAAGGAAGATTTGGATGTTTCGTGAAATGGGGGTACCCCCAAATCATTCATTTCAATAGGATTTTCCATTATAAACTATCCATTGTTGGGTACCTTCATTTTAGGAAACCCCCATTTCCAGCCGTTTCCGTGTTCCGTTTCCGTGTCAGGACACCGATATCCCGAAGACCTTCGTGGCAGCGCTGCAGCTCCTCAGAGTTGAGATTCATGAAGTCCTCGCGGGCTGAAAAGCAGTGGGAGTGTTCGACTGGTGATGGGAGAAACTTTAGAAAAAACACATGGGTATGTCTGAAAATGGGGTATACCCCCAATGAAATAGCCATTTTAGTAGGGATAATGATCATTAACCATTGGCTGTAGGGGTACACTATTTTCAGACAAATCCACATAGTGGCACATATTAGATCATGTTAGTGACACATGTTAAACATTGTTAAACAGATTCAAGAATCAACTTGGGATACATTATGCAATGATGGTTAATTTATGTTAATTTGAAGTGGGTCGAAGGGGTCTAAATTGGACCGTCTGAGTCCAGACCGAGGTCTGAGGGGTTTGTCCTTTGCTCCAATCAGGGCCATGGGATACCCGAGCTGACGGATGGTAGCGAGACCTGTGCCGGAAACATTGGCCACGTCTCCAGTCGATTTCAACACAATGTGTATAGTATGTGTATTTCTGCATTGCAGCCATTTGCAGCGCATTTTCGAGGATCGACAGTGAACTTCAATGTGAACTTCAAGCCCTACAGGGCCGCAAATCCAACATTCGTCGACTAGCTGGGCGTCAACCAACCGTTCGCACGCACCGTGCCTTTGGTCACGGTGTTTTCTAAAGCATCTTCTTTTTCCTGGCCATGCCATCGCTAGGAATGCTCGGCCAAATCAGTTGAAACTGTTCAGATTAGTTCAGATCTCGCATGTGACGTGCTAGATTTGATCTTCATAATGTGGTTTCCAGAATTGTCTGAATGTGAGCAGTCAATCGATGAACATATTCATGGACATCCCCTGTCAGACAAGGGTCATATGTATGTATATTATGTATATATATATATATATATTACTATGTAAATACAATATATATATATATGTATCATTTTGATCAATTTCCCCATGAGCAAAATTTGTTTGTTGACTATCCCAATAGCCCCCGATGACTTGACGGGCTACACATCTAACCTGCCTTCGGTGTGAAAAATGCCGGGCTATGCTGGGCCCAGCCTTGAGAAGCCTCCTTTTTGCATTGGCAGTAGACACCACGAAAGCAACGCCGCTCATAAAGGCTGCAACGACCAAGAGGCTCACCACAACCTGAGACAGGAGTCATATGCTCCTTTAGTAGAATTCGGTATGTATGAATGAAAACAACGGAAAACTCCTTCACAGATTGATGTTTTTGGAGGGTCCCATTCTTTCCAACCCCTCATATTAGCATTTGTCAAAGTCACTCACTTCCACCACCAGCTCAGTCAACAACCAGCTAAGAGATCCTACCCATTCAGAACACTACTACTGGTCGGTATTGATCAAAACGATAAGGGTTGGCTGTGTTGCAGAGCCGGGATCTACCACCTGTGAAGGATCATCAACGGTCAAACGGTCTTGATGACTGGATGCCCAATTGGACCCACAGCATATTGCCCGCCTACAGAACTCCAACTGCAACCGATATATCGATCTAATCTAATTCTAAATCTAATCTGAATCTAATCCAATTACTTTGGTTCTAATCAGATCTAAATCTAGTAATCCAATCTGACTCTAATATCTAACCAAATCTATATCTATATACCTTAATTATCATCTAATCTTATGTGTCTAATCTAGTCTAAAGCAAATCTATCTAGAGTATGTATCTATCTATCAATATTGTGATGCAATCAAAACACGTCACATCTTTGTAAGATTGCTACATGCAACACACAACGATCCATCATGATCCATCTGCATTTGAGCCCTCAATACTAAGGTTAAGTCCCAAGTCACAATCAAAGCAACGAGGTAGACATCGTTAGTAATTGGCTCAAACCTGCACGGCAGGGCCCATGAACATCCATGAACTGGGACGCAGAACATTGGCTGAACATGTTGGACCTCCATTCGCCCAACCAGCAAGAGCTCATGTGCCATGGTCAAAAAATGAACATTTTCCCGAATGGCTAGGCCATGCTCATGTTTTTTTCTTTTTGCCGATAAACCCAGAGCACTGCAGCGCGCCTTAGACAAACAGTTGGATCCTCGCTGTCCATTTCGGATCGATGAAGCTGACACAACTCCACATCCTGTCACCGATGAAGTCTTGTTTGTACAGTAATTTTGGTCCAACAGACCCAGTATGGAAAACTACAAATGGAATAAACCGTTGGTCATTTGTAGATGGAATAAACTATTACAATGGAAACAATTGCCCAGTATATTTAACAATGCCAGTGGGTAATTGGGTGCACAGATACAAGTAGTTTCCCATTGGCTAACCTCAGATGTGGCTGTCCAGAAATCACAATCATCGCAGCGCCTGCATCTCGGCTTGACCCAACCCTGAGCGATAGATGGCCAGCTGATTTAAGAGTCCTCGCCGTTGGTCCCCCGTGGAAATTTAACATATGTGATGATATGTCAATTCAATGGACACATACTTTGCCGACTTATACATAACATTACATAACCTATGGCTCAAAATGCTGTAGACTCAGGAAAATGAAATTGGTTTCTTTCAGAGGACCAGTATTTTGAACATGACCAGCCAATCTGGGACTTGGGTATTTGACCGATACGGAGCTGATCAGTTACAAACACAATACCAACAACATCGGGTCTTCAAATCGCAAAAAACAATGATTTTGGAGCGAATGCTACTAAAAAGAAAGGTTTGCCAAAGTCTCGTTCACCTTTCTATCTGCTATTGGATACGGTCGATATTTGCAACAAACACATATGTTCAAATATTTTTAGCACATGTACAGTAAACACATCGGTAAACATCAAAAAAACACGCTCAAACCATGGTTTGAAAAACACAAACAGAACTCAGCACTCCTCTAGAGGTGGTTTCTCGTCGCCAGCCTGCACCGACACCTCAGAGATTTCTCAGATCGTCTTGCCACGTGCTTCGGATGGCGAGGCTGCATGCCAATGACAACATCCGTAGACACACACATGTATATATACATATATATATATATAAATATATACCAGTAGTACCGCACAAGGCAAAAATATGGAACCTATAGGAGAGGTTGGCTGTTGTGACTCACGGATGGCAGAGCGAATCCACTGATCCACCGAAAGGGACTTGAAGTTGTGTTTTCTGGAATGGTTGCACTAGTTGCAGTGGTCGCCTCACCGCAACTGCTAGATGTAGTGTGGTGTAGTGCAGGTGTAGTTGTAGTTGTGGTGTAATTAGTGCAGTGTATTGTAGTGTACTGTAGTGTTGTGCACTGTAGCACGGTATAGTGTAGTGTAATCTAGTGTATTGTAATGTAAAGTAGTGTAGTTGTAGTTGTTGTGTAGTGTCGTGTAGTGCAATGTAGTGGTAGTTACAGTTGCAGTGTTCGAGTTGCAGTGTAATGTAATGTAATTAGTGTAGCGTAGTGTTGTGTAATGTAGTGTAGTTGTATTTGTATTGGTTGCTGTAATGTACTGCAGCTTAATTAGCGTATTGTGGTGTAACGTAGTGTAGTTGTAATTGTAGTTGTAGCTGTGGTGGTGGTGGTAGGAGTAGTAGAGGTAGTAGAAGCAGTAGGAATAGTAGGAGTAGCAGGAGTAGTAGTAGGAGTAGTAGTAGTAGTAGTAGCAGTAGTAGTAGTAGTAGTACTAGTACTAGTACTAGTACTAGTAGTAGTAGTAGTAGTAGTAGTAGTAGTAGAAGTAGTAGTAGTAGTAGTAGTCGTAGTCGTAGTCGTAGTTGTAGTAGTCGTAGTAGTAGCAGCAGCAGGAGGAGTAGCAGCAGCAGTAGTAGTAGTAGTAGTGGTAGTGGTAGTAGTAGTAGTAGCAGCAGTAGCAGCAGGAGTAGTAGTAGTAGTAGTACTAGTACTAGTACTAGTACTAGTAGTAGTAGTAGTAGTAGTAGAAGTAGTAGTAGTAGTAGGAGTTGGAGTAGGAGTAGGAGGAGGAGTAGTAGTAGTAGTAGTAGGAGTAGTAGTAGTAGTAGCTAGTTAGTAGAAGTTAGTAGAAGTTAGTAGAAGTTAGTAGAAGTTAGTAGTAGTTAGTAGTTAGTAGTTAGTAGTTAGTAGTTAGTAGTTCGTAGTTAGTAGTTAGTAGTTAGTAGTTAGTAGTTAGTAGTTGGTAGTTAGTAGTTAGTAGTTATTAGTAGTAGTAGTAGTAGCAGCAGCTAGTTAGTAGCTAGTTAGTAGCTAGTTAGTACCTAGTTAGTAGCTAGTTAGTAGCTAGTTAGTAGTAGTTAGTAGTAGCTAGTAGCAGCTAGTAGAAGTTAGTAGCAGTTAGTAGCAGTTAGTAGCAGTTAGTAGAAGTTAGTCGAAGTTAGTCGAAGTTAGTCGAAGTTAGTCGAAGTTAGTAGTAGTTAGTAGTAGTTAGTAGTAGTAGTAGTAGTAGTAGTAGTAGTAGTAGAAGTAGTAGAAGTAGTAGAAGTAGTAGAAGTAGTAGTAGTAGTAGTAGTAGTAGGTAGTAGGTAGTAGGTAGTAGGTAGTAGGTAGTAGGTAGTAGGTAGTAGGTGGTAGGTGGTAGTAGGTGGTAGTAGGTGGTAGTAGGTGGTAGTAGGTGGTAGTAGGTGGTAGTAGTAGTAGGTAGTAGTAGGTAGTAGTAGGTAGTAGTAGGTAGTAGTAGGTAGTAGTAGGTAGTAGTAGGTAGTAGTAGGTAGTAGTAGGTAGTAGTAGGTAGTAGTAGGTAGTAGTAGTAGTAGTAGTAGTAGGTAGTAGTAGGTAGTAGTAGGTAGTAGTAGGTAGTAGTAGGTAGTAGTAGGTAGTAGTAGGTAGTAGTAGGTAGCAGTAGGTAGTAGTAGTAGTAGTAGTAGTAGTAGGTATAGTAGGTAGTAGTAGGTAGTAGTAGGTAGTAGTAGGTAGTAGTAGGTAGTAGTAGGTAGTAGTAGGTAGTAGTAGGTAGACTTGAAAGGTACATGATCTACCATGCCTCAGGTACATTGTTGTCCATGTAACTGTTCTGGCTCTAGAGCTCGACCTAGGTAAACACAAGACTTCGTCACAAGCGGACAGAGGAAAACAGACATTTGCGGAAACAGTACTTCTTTGTCACTTTAGTTCCTCTATTTTTCGAGTTGGTAGCGGAGCCGGGAACCCCGGCAGTAACCCCCATTTAAGGTATCTGCTATACCCTAAGGGTCGACTCGACTGTTTTCATTTCTTTTCATCCTTACTCCATTGATTGTCATCATGTTCACCGCCGTGCTGAAGTTGTGTGCCGTGTTAGTAGTGGCACTGGTGGGGTCTGTCTCAGCCAGTACTGGGCTGGTGATCAAGAGTCGCAACACCAGCGCTCTTGTGATCCAGTCCAGTGCGGTTGGGGCAGGCTCGATCAGTGTCACTACACACTGGTATGCAGCGAGCAATGGTCGCAAAGCCCCAGTACAGGCCAGGCCCGAAGGCGAGTACAAGCCCAGTCTGGTGAATGGGGATCAGTGGAGGCAGGAGCTGAATTCGATCCTGGTGCGGCTGCACCACTCAAGGAGGAAGTTCAAAACGAACCCTCGGGATCAGCGTAGGGCAGAGCTTTTGCGTAGGCGGCTCAGACGGCAGCAGAGATTAGTGTTTGAAAGAATGCTAAACATGTACGACTCTAAGCTGAAACATCTGAAGTCTCGTCACAAGGAACTCTGTGAGCTGATCTATGGGAAAGATGCAGCCATTAGATCCAGGAACCATTGCATGACCGGATCCAAAGCAGGCAATCGGAAGGTGAAGTCTCCTGAAGCCCATGTCAATTCGGGTTCGATGACCGCTGGTCACCGTGATGGTAGATCGCTCTCGGATTCGACACTATTGCTAGCCGCTGGAGGCGGTCTTAGCACATGTGCATTAGTGGCTTGCATGGTGCCAGGAAGGAGTAACCATCCAAGATTGCCCCCCGCATGGAGCCCAGAAATGGAGCATCAGTATAGCTTCAGTACTTGGTCTAGGGACATCTTGATTTGGAGCATTGCTACCGATGGGGATGCATCTCGAAAGGCGGCTAGTGTGATTTCTCAACTGCAGGGATCAGCCAGGGAATTCAGCAGAACACTTCCGCCGCAGACCATTCTGACAGGGGGGACCGTAAATGGTACCCAAACCGACCCACTGACGTTTTTGATGTATCAACTTAGCACCCGATTTGCCAGGCTAGGTGAGGAAGTCCGGCTAGGGGCAGTAGGAGATCTGTTGTCATTTGGAAGGGAATCTAATGAAAGGATCGACATGCTGCTGACTAGGTTTGATACTACCCGCATGCGTGCGGCAGAGACAGGTGGGCTCGCCCTGAGCTATGCTGGTCTTTCTTGGTTGCTGATCCGTGCCGTAGGTGTCTCGGATTCTCAATTGATCCAACTTCTACAGCCTCTCGGTGGTGCTCTCCCTGCTGATGAGCAGCAATTCACAGGGTTGAAAGACTCCATCAGACGCATGGGTAGGATCATTGAAAATGCACCAGGAAATATGTCCAATATGTTGCGGGGTAGACAACATCCAACACACAGTTACCATATTCAGGACGAGCACTCATGGAATGAAAATGTGTTCACATCTCAGAATGACCAACCCAGTAGTTCATGGCATGACCAGAGTTCTTGGCAATCCCAATGGCATTCATCCGAAGCATACCCCACTTATACACAGCCGCAAGATCCATACGTGTATTTGTCAGAGGGTCAGGGTGACAGTGGCACAGACACTGACACCAGCAGCGACTATGGCGAAGAAGCCTGGCCAGCTGCTGAGGGTGCCACGGCCAATGAGCAGGCTGCCGAGCTCTACTGGGCCTATTCTCGTGCTAAGACACGCTGGAGGTCATTCATGGGCAAGCCGACCCGAAAAGCTCGGAGGTTTGCCCGCAGAGCCATCTACAAAGGTGGAAAGGGTGGTAAATCAAAACATGGAAAACCCAAAGGCAAGATCATCAATACTTCATCTTATTTGTCCGAACTCAATGAATCCCAGCTCATGGAAATTTTCCCTGCCTTTAGGGCAAAAGGTGGAAAGAAAGGGGCAGGGAGTGGCAAGGGTAAGGGCAGAAAGGGCAATCCAAGAGGCCCGGATGGACGTAAGATGAGATGCCACGAATGTGGTTCGGAAGATCATCTGGTTGCCAAGTGCCCCAGACGGGCTGCAGCCAATGACTCGTCTCAGAACTTGTTCGTAGACTTGGACACCGCCGACCAGATTCCCCCAGGTGTAATCACATCAACCACAGTCCTCATGGTCAATGAAGTAGATGCTAATGTTGGACAAGAATCCGGAACTGATCATTGGTCGACAGTTTCTGGTGGACCCCCATCCAATGCATCCACATTACCAGCAGCACCTCAGGACCCGTGGACCAATAGTGATCCTTGGAGGCGGTACACCGAGAGCAGGACTGGGAGACAGGTCATTGGGGGGATTGTGAATCCAATGCCACCACTGCCGCGCACGACCCGGGCAGTGGATATGGCCGATCAATCCTTGTACATGCAGAGTGTCTTCAATGGCCTGAATGGCCTGATGCATCCGACCACAGACCCACGATCTTTTGGACCGCCAATGATGAACCAATTTACCCATAACACCCCACTAGCCACTAATCCAATGAATAATCTTCCCCAGAATAACCCCACTAATCCACAGGGCAGAAATGTAACCAGCGAACCATTTTTACAGCAACCTGTTGCAGAATCGACTACTATCCAAGAACCATATGTTGCCCAAGCCACGCAACCACCACCAATGCAACCACCACCGGTCCATCGGCACGAAGTGCCACAACACCCACTGATCGTGGGACCAGGGGAGATCCCAACAGTGATCCTACAACATCCGACCCCGGAGTTGCCAGAATGGGCATTGATGCCCGAGTTTAATTTCTTGCAGGGGACTGCCTCGGAGGTGCGTGCACCGACCTATCATCCGATTGTCTCAGAGAATGCTATCAGC